TGATCTAAATTTTTATTTTTGGCTTCCATAGGAAATAGAGAAAGGTCTAAAGTTTTTGTTTCCAAAGTAAATTTATGAACTTTTCACGTTCAACATAAAAACCTGCGGGCTGGCACCACGCGGTAGCATTTGGAATCAAGTAAAAAAGCTTCACAGAATCAAGGCCAAGGCTCTCCTCAACATTGCAATGAGCAGGACAGTTATCCAGTACAAGTGCAGCTTTTCGAGATCGGTCTTGATTCCACTTGTTGAATATCCGCATAAGCTCACAAAATAAAGGTCGGGTCATGTAACCCTTTTTTGATCGAAAGAAAAGACACTCTTGAACTTCTTCATCTTTTTTGACTTTGAAATACCTTACTTCATCGCTCATTTTTTCTCCTCGAGAATTTGTATACTCAATTTTTTTTGATTTAATGGATTTACCAAAGAGATTTCTAGGGAAAGAAGAAGCGATGAAAAAGGGGAAGATTGTCTGACCGGAGGAAGAAATGAATGAGCCCGCACTATAAGCGTCCCTTTCATCGAATCGATGGGTCATCGCGGTATCGAAGGATTTTACATAGTTTCCTTTACCGTTTGCCTGCCAGAAATTGAAACGGGTCTCATCCATATTCCACCTATCAGACTCTTCAAAACTAGACAAAGATTCCTTCAGCTGCTTTCTACATTTATCGACAGCGTCTTGTTTTACTAAGTACTTTTTGCCTATGATTTTTCGATGAGTTATTTCGTAGTCTTTTTTCAATGAAAGGATCCAGTGCGTGTTGAAAGTCAATTTTTTTATTGCTTTATCTTCTCTAAATTCAGGATATTTTTGAATGATGAAGCAATATTCCTGTATATTTATATTGCTAACAGCAATATAATGGCTTTCTGCAATGATTGTGTCCACAACTGTTTGACGAAACCGGTTCATTGATTTTGAAAAATAATTGACTCGAGTTGTTCTGGTGGAAGTGGTAGTGCATTCAAGTTTATCTTTATTTTTTAAAATACCTCTAAGAGTAGAAACGGATATAGTAAAATCTAGCTTCTCATGAAGAAGTTTTATCAGCCGTTTATAGCCTAAACTTTTATTTTTGTGATGAATTTCTACCACGGCTTTTTTCTGATGAAGTGTCAGCTTCTTGTTTGTCCGAAAAATTTTCTCTTTGACAGAATCGGTAATTCTACCGGGTGTGGTTTTCATTTTAAATTTTGAAGATTGATGAAAGCATGAAAATTTTAGCCCTTAAAAGGGCTTCATTCTTCTAGATTTGGCAAAATAGCCGGCGCGACGTGACCCTCATCTAGCGAAAAAGTGCGGGCTAGGGGTGCGGGAACGCAGCACTCACAAAGGGTGCGGAAACTCCTCACACCACTGTACCTGTTTAAGCCAAGGAAGGGCTTAATAAATGTTGAAAATGGTCAACATGGAAATTTAAAAAGTAACAGCCATAGAGGGGCTGATAAATTTCGGTCAACACGGGAGTTGACGCTAGTGCTTAAGCCAAGGAGGGCGAAAATGGGATTAATTGACCCATAAAGGTAAACGGAGAATTTTGTGAAGTGCTAGTAAGAGCACAAAAAGCCAATAAGGGGCTCAGTTAAAATAAAATTCGGGTCAACAAGAGGAATGAGTTGACGGTCATAAAAATAGCCAGGGGATGGCTACATGTAAAATTAATAATGACTTTCACTGATGAGTGAGAGGAAATTTATTTTTGAGTATCTTAATATAATAAAATAATAGAATTATCCGCCAGTTCGAGTTTATCACAAAAATGCAAAACTATGCCAGAATCCGTAATTGACATCAAAGGACCCATTAAGTTATTATTCTTCAACTTTAAATTTATATATTACTTCCACCGCAAAGTCATAAAACAATAAAAATAAATTACCGCTTTGCGATTGATCTTGACAATAATTATACACGTAATTGACATCTTAATGGAATGCGTGAAAATGCTTGTCCGGACCAATTCATTGATTTAAATTTGCTTTCTGAGACAAAATCAACCCTGTTATATTTTTGTCGGTATAACAGTGTTTTAGACACAATTGTTTATATCCAGGCTTTAGTTTTAAAACGACATCTGACCTGACTTGTATATAATTTTAATTAATTACTGCACAAACTTTCAACACGAAATATTAAAAAGAAAATGATTGTCTTTGTTAAAGGCAAATGAAAAAAAAATATCTAAAATGAAAAAGACCGGGAGTTATTCCCGCAACAAAAAAAAAATGAATTAAATCAATAAGAAACTGTATAATTCTGATTTTTTTTTGTTAAATTCGCTGTTAATACTTCACTGCAAAATTCTTAATTTTTTAAGATTATAACAACTAATTATTTCTGTTAAAAATATTCAAATTTTTTCTGCTTAATTAATCGATAATCTTTTTTAGCTGTCACACATTTATTCTTGTAATGAAAAATTTAATTATCTGTACAAAAATCTTAATTAATTTTGAATCAAACTCAAATTCTTTGGGAGGGAGGGATAAATGTATCTCAAAAAATCAAAAGAAACGATCAAAAATTGAAGTATCGAATGTCATCACAACGCATCAAGAAATTCATCAAAAACAACGAAGAGGGGGTTGGATAGAGATGTGCTGAATAAGGGTTTCACCAGCGCATAGGCGCACCCGAGCAAATGTCGTAAACTACATGTCCGCGAGTCCTCGGCACAACTCGACACTCTGATTCTGACACTCTGACTTTTGACACTCTGATACAAAGACAACCAAAAGATACTCCTTCTGAAACACTCCACCTTTTGATACACTCTGCTCTCTCCAGAGATCAATACAATCAACTGTAAACTTAACCGTGTTTGACCATCATGAGGCATGAGCAACTACAGTAGCATAAGGCAACGCCGCCCGGCCAAATATCCAGCACATCATTCAACTTCTAGTGTCCCCATTTCAGTTTCAGTTCTTTTGAGATGGGCACTCGAAAATGATTTGAAAGTTAATGATTTGGAAATGGAAAGTGATTTTACTCTCGAAAAAATCTTCACTCTTCTGACGATGATAATTTATCCGCGCAGTTTGGCTGGCTTCAATCTCAACCCAAAAAAAGAAGAACAAGAATTTCAAGAAAACGGAATTAAATTGCTTCTCAGAAGAATGAAATTCAAAACTTATTTGAATAAAAGTGGATGGGAAATTTTAAAACCACACTCGATAGACGCGAACTTTGATTTTGAAAGAGGTTTTTATAAATACCTAAATTCACCAGTCATAAAATATCTAGTCCTCCTGCATCCCAACTTCGCCTTCTCCCGCCCCCTTACTGTCACCGGCGCCTTTCTGAATCCCGACGGGTCAATATTATTCCACCAAATGGTGCTGGACCGAATCGAAAACTCCGGATTCGTTCTCCAAAACACTTTAATCGCTCATTCCGGCTCTCAAATCAGAATTCCTCTTTCCAGAGAATTCTACGCTTCTTACGAAATGATGGAAGATTGTTTCAACTTCTACAACGATTTTGTATATTTTGGAGACAACAACGAGTATTTGGATTTAGTCAACGAACAATTTAACATGGAAAGAGAAAAATGGTATCTTCTGCCTCAAGCTTATTCAATTACTCTTACTCCGACTCAAAAAGATTCAGTAAGCTTTTAAAGTTCGGATTCAGAAAATCAGCTTCAATCTAGCTTTTATATTCTAATTTCAATCTCTAGGCGTCAACTTTTCGAAAAGGAAAAAAGAAACTTCAATCAGCAGGCCGCCGCCTCAAAAAGTTTTTTCATTAAAAGATATTAAATAAAACACTGAAAAGAAAGATAATTTTTATAAAGCTTTATTCTGCACTGCAGAATCTGCAGTAATTATCAAACGTCATAATTACTTTTGAATTTTGCCTTTTATTTTCTCTACTCTGCAGTTCGTTTTCGTAAAAATAAATATTCATTTGACATTTTTTAATCATAAATAATATTTATTAAAGAGCCGGGAAAAGGTAAAATTGCAGCAAAAAGCAATGAAAAAAGTACTATCTTCTCACATCGTAGCGTGAAAACTGTTTCGAAAGCTCTAGCTTCGTATTTCGACTGACATCTCCAAGTCGCCTCGAGAGCGAGCCCTTCTTGTCCAGCGTGAAACTCCGCGCCTCCTGGACGTTGCAAACGAGCGATTCTAGCGTCGAAACGGGAACTTTGCGTTCGCTCTGTCGGGGGCGCGTTATTTCGTGGCTTTTGCTTCGCTGGGGCGGCGCTGGTTTCTGCGCTTTTCCGTCCTGCTCTTTTATCGGATGCAGCTTGCGCAGACGATGGCACACCGTCGCACTAGATAGAGCGTATGTAGTGCTTTTATTATTTGGAATGCCTTTTGCATCATGTTTTAAATCGACGCTGATCGCGGAGCGCGCTGGGCGCACCTACTACACCATTACAGTACAGCGACACTAGCCTGGCCGCGAGCGCGCGGCCTGTAAAACCAAACTCCTTCGTTTTCCGTGCTCCTCCTTGGTTTATAATGCTCCTCCTCGGATTTTAAAGCTCCTCCACGGAATTCCGTCCTCCTCCACGGATCTCTATATAAACTGTTCACTGTGCACACTTTCTCAGAACACTCACAGAGATAACTTAGAGTGCCAATAAACTACAAAACACAAACTTTTGTTTACTTTTTCTTTGTCCCTTGCAAAATAATAGCAAGCAGTACAAATTTGGTGACTGATACAAACGGCGAGAATTTACAGCGACAACAACTGTAAATTACAATTCCCTGAATACGATTGAAAAGAGCTGCTGTCACGATCGAAGAGAGCTGCTGTCACGATCGAAGAGAGCTGCTGATACGATTTTTGCTGATTTATTCTAAGGACAGGTTATAAGGTCCTTAATTATCAATTTATCCAGGGTAAACCTAAGCAAGCGGAGTTTAACCATAAGTTGAACCACCGACAAGTGAACCTTTAGGATCAGTTTTTGCACTTAAAAACGGACCTATTTTTTTTTCAAAAAGACTTAATTTTTCTGAACGCTTCAACAATGGCTGAAACTTATTTCAAACTTGTTGTCGATTTGAACAGAACGGAACTCGTGAAAATTTACGATTCACTTGATGGGCGAGTCTTCCCAACCCCCATCCCTATAAGTGACAAAGCTTCCGTTGCTGCGAATATCCTTCATTTGGACGACTCTATCCTTGCTCGCGGAAAGAAATACTTTTTCAAAAAAGACAAAGAAGCCTTTATTGAATATCTACCCACCTTTGCCACTGATCATCCAAATGTTGCAGATTCGGTTGAACAAAAATTTGCGAAAAGACATCACCGACTGGATCTCGATCGAATCAAGACATCAAAAGCGGCTAAAGATATTAACTCCTTGATGGCGAACCTACCCATCACGGACAGTGACATCGAGGACGAGCTCGATCTTTCCGACGACGAATCTGTCAATGAGGCGGATGCTACGGTTATTCCGAATGCACAGAACACAGATCCTCGCCCGAATATTAAGAAGGAAAAATCAGAATCAAAGCCACGAGTGCAAAAACCAAAATCTGCAGCGAAATCGGCTCCAACAATGTCGACGCCGATGCGAACATCATCAACATTGAAAGTCAAGCCGCCAAAATATGATGGAACTATCCCTATCGCTTCCTGGCTGAAAAACCTCGAAATATACGCCCGCTGCTCAAAATTGCAAGACAACGAGATAATTACAGTGGCGCTTACTACCTTACTGAATGAGTCAGAAGGAAGTCACATAATCGAGAGCTTGGAAGAAGAAGAACTGAACGACTGGGCAAAGTTTAAAGAGCGACTTGTCACAATGCTAGGAAAAACAGCGGACTTCTACAAAAGTGAGTTCAAGTCCTACAATCGCGGCTCAGACAGCTTCGGAATGTGCCTCAGCAAATTGATTAGCCTCTACAAACAAGGCTATGGTCAGAAAAATCTCGGCGAAAACGACAAATTGCTGATTATTGAGCGTTTTGCTGAAGCTCAAGATCCGAAAATCCGCGAACTGCTAATGCGAGAGAAATCGGCACTGACCCTTGAAAATATCGCAGTCCGATCGAGTGAAATCGAAAATAGCATGCCCAAACGTGACCTGAATTTCAGCATCAAAGCTGAATCCAAAAACGACAAAATGCAAGAATACATCAACCAAATGAAGGAGCTCCTCAAGAAAAACTCAAACAAGGATGACAAAAATCCTAAAAGCAAGAGGAGAGGAAAACGAGCTCGCCTTGATTTCGAGAAACTCAAAGGCCACTGCTTTTCCTACTCCAAAAACAAGACATGCCGGTACAAATCCAACTGCAAGTATGTCCACTCAGACACGGTGCCAAAGGATGTTATGGAGTACATAAACAAATTGGAGTGACTAGATTGCCCTGAAAAAGCGAAAATCTTTATGTGTCCAAACTCCAACTCCGCACCTAATAGTCTGAAATTTATTCTTGTCACCGTCGAAAATCTACAGTATCCGGCTATGCTAGACACCGGATGCTCTCGTACCTGTATCAAAAGCGACCTTCCTTTCGTTCGAAAAACTGAAAATTCCGATGTTGAACTAATGTGCGCAAATAACGAGATTATTCGCCCAAAAACGATGTGCTCTAAAGTGGAACTTCAAATCAACTCACCGGATGGATATTTTACCTTGAATTGCTCGCCTTTGGTGGTTAACGACCTTAGTGTACCGATTATACTCGGACTCGATTGCTTGAAAAGCTTGTCCTTCAATGCTGGAGAGAATTACGTAACGCTGGAAAATCACAGAGTCAATACAGTAACTCCAGAAAACGCGTCAAATCTTATCAAAATTTCAGCAATTATTGAAGTGGACCTCAAATCTGAATCAGAAGCCGCTTCACTTAAAAATTCCGAAAAACACGCGAGTCTCTAGCTAATGAAGTCAATTTTTCTCCGAAAATTGGAAGCTTTGGCGCCGCAACTGACGTCGAAAAAGCGATTCTTACTGAACTTGTTGAGAAGTATCGTCTCTCATTCTCAATGTCAAGTGACGATCTTGGTAAACTTCACGGATTCAGGTTCGCTTTACCAACTCACGACGAATCAAAATCGAGCCACCAACCACCACGACCGATTCCAGTGCACATCCGAGACCAAGTTGAAAACGAAATTGACAGTTGGAAAGCATTGGGAATTATCGAAGAGACACAATCTGATTTTAACATACCGCTGATTATTTTGAAGAAACCAGATTCAAGCATAAGAATAAGCCTTGACGCTAGAGGGTTAAATAAAATGCTTATCAAGGACAGATATCCCTTACCCCACATGCTCACTGTATTCAACAGAATTGGCGAAAAACTCACTTCCGGCGATGCGTGCTACATCAGTTCTCTTGATTATCACCGAGGTTACTGGCAAATTCAGTGTGCAGCAGAAGATTCTCACAAACTTGCGTTCTCCTTCGGAAATAAGCACTATCAAGCTAACAGAATGCTGTATGGCACCGCTACTGCGCCAAGTGCTTTTTCGCGGATAATGTCAAAGCTGATGAATCACCCTTCAATAATAATCTATCTCGATGATCTTATCTGCATCGACAGTGATTTCCAAAGCCACATGAAAACCCTAGAATTCATCCTGAAGCAATGTCAAGAACATGGACTTTTATTGTCCGCATCAAAATGTAACCTTTGCATGCGCGAAACAGAATTCCTTGGTCACAAAATCTCAAGAGCAGGAATCCAGCCCACAGATAAACACATCGATGCAATCAACAAAATAACAGTTCCAACATCAAGAAAAGAATTGAAGAGATATCTCGGAATGGTCACTTTTAACGCAAAATACGTCAAGGATGCGTCAATAATTCTAGCGCCTTTATACGAGCTCACCAGCCTGAAGAAAGAGTTTATCTGGACTGATCGACACCAGAACGCGTTTTCAAAAATGAACTCTGAGCTCACTAAAAAACCGACACTTGGCCATTTCAAACTAGGCTCAAAGCTCTTACTGGTAACAGACAGCTCTGGAAAAAGTGTCGGAGGAACATTGTACCAGTACCAAGATGACAAGCTCATTACCCTTGGATACTTCTCAAAAGCTCTTACTGGTCCTGATCTTAAAAGAAGTATGCGCGTAAAAGAGTTATTCGCACTTACTTGGGCAATAAAACACTTCGAATTCTACCTTCTCAACACCCATTTTGAAGCATACGTCGACCACAAATCATTACTGTTTTTATTCAAAGAGCAGCAACAATCAAAGCTAGATATCAAGCTCTGCAATATACAGTGCTACTTGACCCAATTCGACTTCACAATAATCCACAAACCTGGCAATAGTGATGTCATGGCAAGTGCAGATTACTTCAGCCGATTACCCAGGTCAAAAAGCTCTTCACTGGACGACGACGCTACTCGATTCGAAGACATTCCAGAGCGAGTGTACATGTTCCATCTCAAATCGCAAGACGATGAAAACATTGTTTTCTCATATGGATCCGAGAAAATAACAAGTGAGAAAATGAGACAACTGCAAGACAGCTGTAATCTCACTAAAAACAAAATTGTCAAAGCAAAAAAGCATAAGAAAACAAGATTTTCTTTCAAAAATGACATTTTGTACGCACAAAACAGACTTGTCCTACCCGACCATGTTGCAACCAAATTTTTACAGTATCTTCACATTATAACAGGACATGGTGGTTCAAAAGCGCTGACTCATATGTGCTCGAAATTTTTCATCAGCAACATTCAAGAAAAAGTCCGTGCGATTACAAGCTCCTGTCCTGTCTGCATTCAAGTGAAACCTGTCAAGAAGCTAAAACCGTCAATGATCGAAAAACGCAATTTCGAGTCTGTCCCCTTCGAAAAAACGTTTTTGGATTTAGTGGACTATGGTTCTAAGGATGGCAATAATATGCGCTACTTGTTAACTTGCTGCGACTCACTTACCGGATTTTTGGATGGGGTGCCACTTGCATCAAAATGCGATAAATTGGTTGCAAGAGCGATTTTAACCCTTGTTCTCCGACATGGCATCACCGAAACCGCTGTCACCGACAACGGCCGTGAATTTGGTCCTTTAACCCGGCAAATCTTCGAACGATTCCAAATAAGGCATGTTACAACGACAGCGTATCGATCTTGCTCAAATGGCAAAGTCGAAAGACTCCACCGCGAAATTCACATTCACTTGAAAAATATGAATGCAAACGATCGAAACTGGTCACAAAAATGGGAAGAAGCCAAATATTACATCAACAATCTGCCGAAAGAAACACTAGATGGTCTTTCCAGCAATGAAGCCCTTTATGGTCGAGCTTTTCACGTTCCATTCAAAATTGGACAATCTGAAGATGGTGCTAAAGAGCCTTTTATAAAAGCTCTCAATAACTACATCACAAAATTACATCCTGCTATCCAACGATTCCAAGTGGAACGATACCAAAAACAGCTCCGACGCGACAAAAACAACTGCCCTCTTTTAGAAATAGGTACAGTAGTGCTCGTTTGGAAGCCGAATATTTCTAATGGGAAGCTCGGGACCAATTGGACTGGACCTTTTTTTGTCCACAAGAGAATCTCTAAAGACTCGTACATTGTCAAGTGTGACCTTACAAAACGTGAATATAGAAGGCACATATCGCTCATACGCCCCTTAAAAAATATGGTTGGCGATTCGACAGAATTCAAGACAATCAGAAACGAGCAAGAAACCAAATCACCACAAGATGATGATAAGAAAATAATCGACTCTTTGCAAGACAAAAAGTCAGATTCACACAACAAGACTGAAGAAATTGAAAAATCAACAGACACTGTAACTTCTGAGCCAGCTACAAATGCACTCTCACAAGATGAAAAAGAAGATGATGCTCAGACAAATGCCTGGTCAAAAAGACTTAGACCACGAAAATCCCAAAACTAAAAGGGGAGAAGGGAGATGATAAAAATTCACCTCTTCAGTAGAGCCTAAAATTCAAAAATATGAGAGGGATGAATGCTTGTTGGTTCCATTCAGTAAGGCCTACTCGAAAATCAAATGAGACGCGAAAAAAAAAAAAGAAGCTTATAAATAGCCAAAATTTGATCTTGAAAAAACTGTTATTCTAGCGCCACCTCAAAAGCGCAAGGATCTTTTTCAAAATTCAAATACTAATGAGATACAAATTCTCTAAATCGATAACTAAGAGGAAGAAGTTTTACTGTGAGACAACCTAGCGAAACAAAACCAACAACGAACTTACAGTATGTCAAAGAATATCTTCTTGGCCTTTCAGCACTAGATGCCGACTGTATGAAGAAAGTCCATCAAAACAGCTAGCTACAATAAATTCAAATGTGCCATGGATCTCGTTAAGTCCATGATTTCAAAACGAACTGCGACTAGTCAGCTTTAATGCAGAGGGAACCTGCTTGAGATTAAACCCGGTCATGGCCCGCACAAGCCCAATTGGATGGCTATTCGACTCATTGGACCTCTTTTTGTATTCAATATTTGCACTCACCGCATGCACTCGAGTTCAAATTATTCTCTACAAAAATGCTCATCGACGAGAATAGGAGCTAAAATTGCTTGCTCCCCATACAGCTTTGTTATCCCAATAAAAGGACGCGACAAGATCGTGCATCGCTCAAGAAGCAAAAGAAATCAATTTTCAGAAGAATCTGGACAATAAATCGGACGAGCGATCGAAGCGCCTCACGTGATTGGCCGCGCAAAACTGCACCGCACGGCCCGGAGCGCAGCACACTCACTCGCCGCAAAAAAGAGAGAAAAAGAAAATAGAGAAAATGCCGCTAAATTACACGTCGAGCAAACAAACCGTTTATCACTTTTTCGATGGAACTTCAAAGGAAATGGTGTTACGATATATACTTCCACAAGTCTTAAATATCGACCCGCCAACGGAGTACGTTGACCCGTCAAAGTGGGCACGGATTTTCGAAATAATTGATTTCGTCAAAAATATCCGACTCGAAACCCTTAAATTTCTGGAAACCTATGAGTACTCAATCCAAGATTCCAGAGCCGTTTACAACTTTTGGCGCGAAAGATATTCAAAAAACGACAGCTTTATCTATTGGCTTGCTAAAACGACCGTAATTTGTGAGATTTGGCGGAATAACGAGAGCCTTAAAATAATTGGCCCTAAGGTTCTTGAGACTTTCGATAATATGTTCATATCGAAAAGATTACTCTGGAACGAGCTCCTTACCTTTGATCTTAAAAATGAGATCAAAATCGTTCGAAAAACTCTAGAATTATTTCTAGAAGAAACTCGCAAACCTGGCTACAAAAGTCAACCTTGCTCAATCTGAATTTCATTCTCAGACACCATTTTATGAGCCCTTTACATCACCTGGGAACGTGGACGATCGACAAACAGGCACTCCTGCTGACGCTGATGGATCTATCGCTCAAAGCCCGCTTACTTATGTTTCTGATGACCCTGTCACTGCTGATATTCCAACTAATCCGCAAGTCGACTTATCAGAAATCAACGCTTCCGACCTGCTTGATTTTACTCCATCGCAAACAACAGACTTCTATCCTTCAATCGACGATTTGCTCTCTTAAAACCGTGCAAAAGTCATTTTCTCAGAAGGGAAGGATTTGTAGTGCTTTTATTATTTGGAATGCCTTTTGCATCATGTTTTAAATCGACGCTGATCGCGGAGCGCGCTGGGCGCACCTACTACACCATTACAGTACAGCGACACTAGCCTGGCCGCGAGCGCGCGGCCTGTAAAAACCAAACTCCTTCGTTTTCCGTGCTCCTCCTTGGTTTATAATGCTCCTCCTCGGATTTTAAAGCTCCTCCACGGAATTCCGTCCTCCTCCACGGATCTCTATATAAACTGTTCACTGTGCACACTTTCTCAGAACACTCACAGAGATAACTTAGAGTGCCAATAAACTACAAAACACAAACTTTTGTTTACTTTTTTGTCCCTTGCAAAATAATAGCAAGCAGTACACGTAGTTACAGTAAAGTTTCAAGCCACTGGCACTTACGGTGGCCACTGATGGATGATATTCAAGTTGCCATTGGCGTCGCCCGCCATCTTCGTCTTCGGCGGCAACATAACATTACTCTCCTCCTTCATCAAATACTCATTTTAGGTCAAAACATGCTTTTATTCCACGAAAATTGTACATAAACTGCAAGAGCAAAAAATAATTTAATACGTTCTTCGCGTGAGATTCGCCAAGACTTTGTATTTGTTCTGACCCAAACGTGGCTTGGAGTGGATCTCTTTGCTTGTGTGCGATTGCCGTGGCGATTGTTTTGATACTTTTTCCAGGTAAGAAATTACGGCCTTTATACTGTATTCTGTGCTCGGCACGGGGAGTTGGAAGTTGCATAGGCCAAATATGCCCAGATTTTCAAAATGATAACATGCAAAACGTGCGCAGCTTGCGAGAAATTATGATGAAAGGGATAGAAACTTGTCTCGAAATTCAAAAGAGAGGTACGTTTAAAATTAGCGATAATGAGCATGCGAAAAAGATGCATCAAAATATAAGTGCCTGTTTTTTGAAGAAAATTTTCTTATCATAAATTATATTTGTTAAAGATATCAATATAATAAGTACTGGAATTTCTCCGGCACCTTGAGGAGTTCAAAGAAAGTGAGCTTCTCGTTTTCATGAGAATTTATTTTGTTTGTAAGAGGCAAGAAGAGTAGGAAGGATGGGCTCGGAGACGATTCTTACCTATTACTAATAATTGAGTCCGATTTCGATTGTCTAATAGCCTATAAGACTATTGCTGTGTGTCCTTGGCGCGAGAGGTGGCTGGATGGTCCTCCATTGACTGAGTAAATATATTTAATGTATATTATTTTAGTAATTCTTGGGCGGATTTATTAGCATTTTATACGGGTTTTTTGCTCTGAGACGTATCACATTTGAAAAAATGCAAGTTTCAACGCATCCAAAAGAATTAACAAGAGAAGCTGTTGAAAAATGGCTGGAAGATTTTAAAAAGAAGTTGAATAGAACGACGAGCAGAGATGATTTGGACAGATTGATTTTGTCGGTGGAGAGATTCGAGTTTAAAAATATTGATCGTGCTAGATGGGAGGAAGTTATTTTTGAAAATGGAAAAGGAAAAGTTTCTGGAATATATGTAGAAGAAGAATGGGCTATTACTTCATTTCAAAAAATGATCCTCGACCAAAATCCGCAACTAGAAGGTCGAATAATTCAACGCTCAGAACTCAATGAAGAAACTGGAGAATGGATTATCGATGAATTTCTTGAGCAAAAATTAATTTCAGCTGGAGGAGAAGCGATTGTTTTGGAGGAAACATTTGGAGAATTAAAATTTGCGGTTCGGTTTCAAGCTTTTGATTCGGCGCTTTTTACGGGGAAGACTGAAGAAATGGAATATGAAATTAATCTTTCCAAAGGTATTTTTATTTTTTTTTAAATAGTTTCTCCTTTTTAGGGTGTCGGGCGCTGAGGTTATGCCATAACCAGGTTATGCATTTTCGATTTAAATTGGAGCAATTTGAGGCTAAATTGGTTCCAAAAGACTTATAAACGATGTTTTCTCTAAGATCAGGCGCGATGCGCACTTGAACTATCTGTTACATATCGATTAATATGATTTTTATTAAGAGTGCATAACAAATAGAGGTGTTCAGGTCGACGATTCAAAAAAGGGATGAAAACCCATGTCGGGACCTAGTTATGCATGCATAACCTCAGCGCCATACACCCCCTTTTTAAGACTACGATACCGCTCATAACGACGAAAAAGATGACGCTAAAGTTATCCCTGTTCATCAAAACGTGATTAAAAACTTCTGCAACATCGAAATCTTCTCGAGCAAAGACGAGAAAAGACAGGACTGCCTCGGATGGATTACGATTATGGAGAAATGCGACACAGATTTGAGAAGCAGATTGAAGAAGGGAGATTTGAGCTTGAAAGAGAGGAGGAGAATTGCGAATGAAGTGAGAGAGGGGAGAAAGTATTTGGGGAGCATTGGAATTTACCATCAAGATCAGAAGCCGGAAAATATTTTATTGAAAAATGGAGAATGTAAATGGATCGATTTTGGAACTATTTGGGAATTAACTGGAAGGAAGAGCTACAGAAGAATGGGCTACGCGAGGAAAGGGAGCAAGTGTAGATTTATTGATTATTTATGTAAGTTATTAATTGAAATTAGTTGAAAATAATTTGCTCGCGTTTTTATTTTCTTCTCAGATGCTGGATCTTCTGCCTTTACGGGAAGTAATCAACTTTGTGGAGGAGGAGGAGGAAGAAGATCACCACTTCACGTATTTATTCTTTGTGATTGGAAAACAGCGTGGAGTCTTCTTTTCAAGCCGATCGAAGAAGAAGAAAAAGAGAAAATCAAAAAGAACTCAAGGTAAGAGCTTAAGGGATCCCCCCCCCCGTTTTTTCAAATCTTCATGACGGGTGTCTATGTGGCATATTTAGATTCCTCGTGCTCTGAGGATCATTTTGATATATTACATGACCCCTTTATGGGCATCTTTACCCAAAATTTCGACCCTCGAAAATCGTAACAATGCATGTAATTTGTACTTAGCGTGAAAATCGCAATTTTTTTCGACTTTTCGATGTCATCGAAAATAGACATATAAGGGGTCCATCGAACGCTTAAAATGCACTGAGTAAGAATTTAGTAACCGCATTAGGATTTTTGGCCATATATTGGCGCTAGAGAGCAATTTGGAACCAAAAAGGGCCAAAATGGCATCTTAAAGTTTTTTTTAAGAAAAAATTTTTCTTACTTGACCAAACAATTTCTCTGTACTAGAGATTAAAGATCAGGCTTTACTCTTTCTAAATCTAGTCGCAGATTTATTCTAGCTAAGCCCAAAAAAAAGAAGTTCGCCGTTGAAAATGGCCAAAAACGGCGTTTTTTCGAAAAACACTAACTTCAGCGCCCCCGTGTGCTAGGTTTGCGTCTATGTATTTTTTTCTCTGTACTAGACAGGGGTGGATATTTTGATTTCAAACCTCATTTCAAACCCCGAAATTTCCGTTCTCGACCAATCAGGATGGCCAAATTGGAGTTGAAATGAGGAGTTGAAATCAAAATATCCACCCCTGGTACTAGAGAATTAGCCGCTATGAACGAGCTTTCATTTGCGCTATTGCACGCAAAAATTGGTAAGTGCAAAAAAGTAGTTTGCCATTGAAAATGGCGAAATCGGGGGATCCCTTAATAAGAAATAATATTTCTGCAATGAAAGAAAAATTTGAAGGCGTGCAATGCTGAGTGGCTCTCAGAATGGTATACTCCATCAACCAAAGAAATCGAAAACTTGTCGAAAATAATTTCTCTAAAAACGCGTCTTCTGCTTTTTGCCTCGACGATCCAAATTTGACTAAGTCATCGGCAATGGCCAATCTCAAACAGAAACTGACAAGACAGATTAATTTCGACTTCGAAAATTTGACGAAAAATGTTTTAAACCAAAAAGAAAGCGATCTTTGGGCTCAGGTCAATATTCGGAGTTACCATGGATTGGAGCATTTTTTTTGGAGTGAGTTCTGTTTTCGTTTCTAAAGTGGAGGAACTTTTTTGGAGTTACACCGCAAAAAATTTTAAGGCGACGTTAGACGGATTTTTATTTTCTCAGTGGAATTTTTGGACCTTCTTCTTTATCCGCGGTTCTATTTTTTGATGGGTTTCATTTGGACTTGTTTATATATCCGTGGTTTTATTTTTTGATGGGTTTCATTTGGACTTGTTTATCTATCCGCGGTTCTATTTTTTTCATTTATTTTATTTGGACTTGTTAATTTATCCGCGTTTCTATTTTTTTGGTTGGTTTCATTTGGACGAGTTTTATTATCCGCGGTTGTATTTTTTTAATTGGATTCATTTGGACTAGTTTTTTATCCGCGGTTACTATTATTTTAATCGATTCGATTTAATGGAATGTTAATAGTGATGAATAGCCAAAAAAGTGAGGTAAATGTCAATGAAAAAATTCAGTGTATAAGCAGGGTTTTTGGGCCCGGGAGGGCCGCGCGCGCGATTGGCTGAAAATGGCTAATTCTCTTCTTCTGTTTCCGCGGTTTGCGCTTCAGCGACGGCTATCTTCTATGTTATGGGGGCTCTATGGGGTACATAAACGTCGACTGTTCCATCATTGCTACGAAATAAGCTCCGGTAACGTTTGTCAACATTTATTTTTAGGGGATTGAGAATACTTGCTTTTTTCCGCGATTGTTTGGTCGATGAAGCTGGATTTTTCGTCGTCGTTTTCTTCATGAAACTTTTTTTCTATGTTATTAAGGGAGCTCTACGGGGTTCATAAACGTCGACTGTAACATCACTGCTACCAAATAAGCACCGGTTACGATAGTCAACATTTATTTTGAGGGGGGTGTGAATACTTGCTATTTTCCGCGGTTGTTTGGTTGATGGAGCTGGTTTGTGAATGTCGCCATCTAAATGAACGTTATTTTCTGTGTGTAAAAAAATTTTGGGGTTTCTATGGGGTGCATAAACGTCGACTGTTCCATCATTGCTACGAATCTAGCACCGGTAACGTTTGTCAACGTTTATATCTAGGGGTTA